CGACCACCCCCAACGACCCCGGGATGCCGGCTGCTCACCGTCGTCCCGCCCCAGGACGATGGCCCGGTACCAGCCGTCCTTCAGGAAGGGGGAGGCCGGGCTCAGCACCCGCCGCGTCTGGATCCGGCCACTGGCTCCATTCACCTGCAGCCAGTCCTCGGGGTCATAGTCCTTGGAGTATGTTTGTGGGTCGACCACCCCCAACGACCCCGGGATGCCGGCTGCTCACCGTCGTCCAGCGCCAGGACGATGGCCCGGTACCAGCCGTCCTTCAGGAAGGGGGAGGCCGGGCTCAGCACCCGCCGCGTCTGGATCCGGCCACTGGCTCCATTCACCTGCAGCCAGTCCTCGGGGTCATAGTCCTTGGAGTAGCTGTTTGTGGGGGATGGGGTTCTGAGCCCTCCGGGACCCCCAGAGGCAGCACGGACACATTCGATAAACCACATACAACACATACTCCTCATGCACGTCACACACGCATGACACACGCCACACAGGTGCACCTGGGAGCTGTGACCCTCCACACCTCCCAAAAGCTTTTGAGGGGAGTCCCTGTGGTTGAGCTGGCCATTGCCCTCAAACACAGGGTCACTGCAACTCAGGGTCCTGGCCCCCTGGGCAGTGCTTGAGATGGACAGGGTGCCATGGAGAAAGACAACCTGGACGGGGTGTGGGCGGCCTGCTTGTGTGACCTGGAGACACAGTGACACGTGTGGCACCACAGCATCCTCGGGACCTCTGACCGCAGCGGGGCACCTCCCACCGAGGACCCACCTGACCCTCTGCAGCTGCACTGTGTCGGGGTCTTGTGCAGAGAAGGTGGCCACAAAGGTCCCGGGGGGTGCCCCCTCAGCCACGCTGGTTCTCAGTGGGTTTTCGGGGAACACAGGTGCCTCGTTGACGTCCTGCACCCGGATGCTGACCGTGGCCTGGCCCCTCTGGGCCTGGGGGGATGCTGCCTGCAGTGGGGCCTCATTCTGCACAGACACCCTGAGCTCATAGCGTGCACAGCTCTCGTAGTCCAGGGGCTGAGGAGGCAGAGTGGCTGCTGCTCAGGACTCAGCTGGCGACCCTGCTCCTACAGGGCCCCTCCTGGGTTTGTCCCAAGCACCCACCTTTCCTTCTTCCCCTTTCAGCCCTGGCAGAACAAAAACTGCCGGACGAATAGGCTCAAAGAACAATGCAAAAATAACAAGATGAAGGCCGGTCACTCTGAATGGGCCTGTGATGTGGGGTCAGGCTCACGAGTGACATAGGCCAGTGGGCCCAGCCAGCATCCCTCTGGTGTTGCTCTGTGGGCACACAGCACAGGTGGCAGTGGTGCCAAGCTGGGGGCCACCCTGGCTGGGGTAGGAGCATCACTCGAGAGTCCACCCCAGGAGCCGGTGCCCAGCCTGCCTGGGATGGCCAAGCCAGCTTCTTGCAGTAAACCTCCTGTACCGACCTACAAGTGTGTTCATTGTGTGCACATGTGCATGTGAGCCTGTTCCTCCGGCACACAGCGTGATCTCCCACATGGATTGCGCCTGTGACACCTCCGAGGTGGCTCACCTTCACCACAGACAGCACACCCTCATTGGTCCTGGGGTCTGTTCTGATGTCGAAGTGTCCCCTGGGGTCGCCCTCCAGGATGGTGAAGTTGGCCACCCAGTTGGGGGAGCCGGGCAGGTCTCTGTCCTCCACCTCCAGCCGCCCCACATCCACTCCACTGATGGCCTCTGTGGCCTCCATGGAGAACTGGGGGAGCCAGGCCTGGTTACCCCAAGGTGGGGCAGGGAGGGGGGGCCTCAGGGCTCCCAGCCCCACCCTCCTCCCATCCATATTGGGTGCCCCTCTGTGCCCAGGGACAGGCTGGCTGCCCCACTCAGTGAGGCCCAGAGGCTCGCACAGCTGCCCCTGCCCAAGGCCTTGGGCCCAGCATGCAGGTACCTGCCCAGGACCTACTCCCCAACACCACCCTCCATGGCACCCTCCCCTGGGATACCCCACACCCTGCCTGCAGCCAGAGCAAGGAGGGATGGGCAGCCCTGGACCTTGTCACTGGTGAACTCAGGGGCATTGTCGTTGATGTCGTCCACGGAGATGATGGCTGAGGCTGTGGAGGTGAGGCCTTCTCCAGACATGTCTGCCACCTGCAGCGTCAGGTTGTACACGGTGACCACCTGGAGACATAGGGTCAGAAGATGTAGTGCAGCTATCCCTGGTGGCGCACACCTGTCATCCCAGCACTCTAAGAGGAGGAAAGAGGATCCCAAGTTCGAGCCCAGCCTGGGCAATTTAGCAAGACCCTGTCTCAAAAAATAAAGGGTTAGGGATGCAGCTCTGTATGAGGCTCTGGCTTCTATCCCTAGTACCGCAAAAAAAAAGAGGAGGAGGAGATGCTCGCGTGCGGCAGAGGCCGAGGCTGGCCGGTCACTTTAGATGGGCCACCTGGCATCAACGTCAGCCTCTGCCTGGCCTGTGAGTGGCAAGTGGCCAGGTGTGGTGGTGTCAGACATGGGCACTGAGGGACATCGGTCAGCAGAGCTGGCTGTGGGGAGTTATGTGGCAAAGCCAGGACATGTGGCCCAGGGCCCTGGGACTTGCCCCAAGAGGCCAGGCCCGAGGCAGGCATTTGCTGCCAGCACCCTGGCCTCTGCATGGCCCCCCAGGCATGGGCCTGGTCTCTGCTCAGCAGATTCCCTGGGCCACCAGAGCCAGGCCAAGGAAGCTTTTGTGGGGGTGCCGGGGATGCACCCCCGGCCTCTGCACAGAGCCATATTTTAAATTCTGAGACAGGGACTTGTGAAGTCACCAATCATCGCCCGGCAGGCCCGAGCTCGCCTCCCCATCTAGAGGCGCGGAGCTGCCTCACCTCACGGTCCAGCCCCACGTGCACGGTGCGGATCTCGCCTGTGCGCTCGTGGATGCTGAAGAGCTCGGGGCTGCCCTGGGCCAGGATGGAGTAGTGCAGTGCTGCATTGGCCGTGTCCGGGTCATCGGCATCGGTGGCCTCGGCCCGGGTCACATAGGTGCCTGGGGGTCACGGGAAATGCTGTGTGCAGTGCTCAGCTCAGACCCAGCTGCACACGTTGCCCTCCACCCGCAGCCCAGCAGCCTGCGCATCAGCTTTGACTCCCGGTCAGGGGCCAGCATGTCTTCCACAGACCAGGCCAGGCAGAGCAGTGGGTGGGAAACCCCAGTGCTCAGGCGGGGAACGAGCTGAGCAGGGCCAGCGTGCAGCACCCTAAGGTGCCACCTGGCTCCGGAGCAGAATGGCGAGGACAGCCCCAGGCACAGGCGTCTCCCCCAGCTCAAGGAGAACAAGCCACCAGCCACAAGATCAGGCTGGGCTGCAGACTCAGGGCAGCAGACACAGGGGGGACAGTGGGAGATGGGAGAGCGGAGGAGAACACAGCAGGAGCCCATCGAGTCCCAAGGCAGGGACTAGGCTCCCACACAGCCATCTGTGCCATGCTGCCCGTCTTTTCCACAACCCAAGAGGCTGGAGCAGAGCTGAGACCTGCCCCCGCAATGCCTGTACCAGGACCTTGGTGGGGGGCAGGCAAGGTCTGAGCAGGAAAAGACAGAACTCTGGAGAGCCGTTAGGACTCATAAATGGAGCCAGCCTGGAGGGTAAGACACCACTGTCTGCCGGACTGATGCTGCACACCTGTAATCTCAGTGCTCAGGAGGCTGAGGCAGGAGGACTGCAGCATGTATGAGGCCAGCTTGGGCCACGTGGTGAGTTCAAGGCCCACCTACACTACATAGTGAGAACTCATCTCAAAAAACAAAAGCCACCACCCATGAAGCACACTACCGGGAGTGGCTCTGTGACCAGAATCCTTGTTCTGAGAAGAGAAACTGAATAGTCTTGTGTGAACAGAGATGTTTTGATCTCAATGGCCGCACCACGGCTCAGCTGGTGGAGTCCAGTCTGGGTGGGTGGGAGGCAGAGGAGGAGGTCAGAACGAATGGACAGACACAGCTCAAGACACACACACAGGAATCCTCTGCAACTTTTTTGTAAGTCTGAGATTATGTCCAAATAAAAAGCTAAAAGTAAAAATGAGATTGTTGAATCTTTTCTCTTTTTTTTTGTTTTTTGAGACAGGGTCTCACTTTGTAGTTCAGACTGGCTTTGAACTTGCAGCGATCCTCCTGCCTCTGCCTCCTGAGTGCTGGGATTACAGTTGTGAGCCACCACGCCCAGCTATGTCACGTCCAATCTTAACACATGGGATGAAATAGAAAAACCTTCACACAGGCCCTGATTCTCCAAGGGGCTCTCGGGGTTGAGCAGGTGGGGCAGACACAGAGGGGCGGTAGACCTGGCCTGCAGGCCCCAGGGACGGAGGCCAGGGCTGTCCAGGCCACACTGCCACCCCTCTGCAGGGGGGCCTAGTGGATGTACTAAATGGCGCTGAACTATTTACTAGATGGCCAACTTTTCTGTTTTACAGTACTGGGGACTGAACTCAGGGCCTTGGCTCTGAGCCACGCCCAGCCCTTTTATTTTTTATTCTGAGACAAGTTCTTGTAAGTCCCTCAGTTGCCCAGACTGGGCTCAAAGTTTTGCTTGTCCTGCCTCAGCCTCCCAGGGTCCTGGGATGACAGGAGTGTGCACCATGCCCAGCTTACATGGTTACTTTTGTCACACGAATGCATCTCCAAGTAGAAGAGGAAGAGAAACCACAGCTTCGCCACCCAGTTCCTCCCTGTATTCTGGGGGTGCTGGAACCCATGCTGAGCTGGAAGAGGCTTGTGGGGGGCTCTGCTCACTCCAGACTTTGGAGGAAATGCCGGGGCGGGTTGGGCTTGAGGACTGAGCCCGCCTTGGGAACCGTACCGTGTCTCGCTCTCACCTGGGGCCGCGCCCTCCAGCACGCGGCCGGTGAACACCTCCTGCACAAAGGCCGGCCGGTTGTCATTCTGATCCACAACCAGGATCTCCAGGTCGGTGGGCTCTTCCAGGACAGACCCTCCCCGGTCCAGGGCAAAGACCTTGAGCTGTGCGAGCAGAGAGGGCGCTGGCCAGGCCCAGGCCCAGCAAAGAGAGCAGTGCCCTCCCTGGGTTCCTGTCTCCCATCCCTGCTCTATCAGGTGCTGGGTTTGGGCTTCTCGCAGAGGCAGTCAGGAAGCCACTCCTGTGAGGTCAGCACAGCACTGAATGCTGCGGGTGCAGAGGGCTGGTGGGTCAGGCCTGCGGGGCTCTCGGTGGGCTCTGCCCCCACTGACCCTGCCCTGAGGAGAGTGGCTGCTGCGGAATGGGGCTGGACCCCCCCCCTCCATCTGAAACCAGGACCCAGAAGACTCGGCTGAGGGTCAAGAGCCAGGCCTACAGGGCCTCTGACAGGACAGAACCCCAGCCCACATCCCAGGCTGCAGGCCCACGGTCCTGGTCTACCCTGAGGGCCACGGGGCAGTGGCTTGCTAACTGACTGGCCTCGAAGGCAGGGGGTCCCTACCCTGTAGGAGGCGGTCTTTTCCCGGTCCAGCTCCGCATTGAGGAACACCCGCCCCGAGAACTTCTCCACAGAGAAGAGGCCGAGGGGCTCCTCATCCACGCCAGGGCCCTGGATGCTGTAGATGACCCCGCCCGGCTGCCGCTTGTCCGACCTGATCTGTGGGCAGCAGAGGGAGGCTGAGGAGGGAGCAGGAGGTGCACCCCTCACGCCCAGCCCTGGCTGCACACTCTGCCAGGGTCTGGCCAGGAAACCCCGATCAGCCACAGAGCGGTGGCCACTTGGCTCTGCGCTGGTGGGGCGGGGCGTCTGGGCCCGGGCTCTGCCAAGCTGCCTTTCTTCCCTGCAGGGACTCTGGGACAGTCCAACCACTGGCCTCACCTGCACCAACATGTAGGGCAGGCCCTTGTAGTTCTCCGACACGCTGATGGGTGGGATGACCCAGGCTCTCCGTACTCGGCCCCGTGCAGGCAGCCGGCGCCAGGGGTACAGGGTGCTGGGCCGTCCAGGGACCCCCCAGGACAAGCCAAGGCTCTGCAACACAGATGACACCATCAGGCAGTGAGGCCAAGTAGGTGGGGGTGCCACTGCCCTGGGCAGGGTCAGCTGTGTGGCTGGGGCACAGGGGGTGGCAAGGCCACACCCAAATCTGAGGCCTCAACACCCTCCAGGAGAAGCCTCTGTCTGCTTCCTCATGTGGGAGCCTCAGAATCAGGGCCGCACCCCAGGGGTCACCCTCCCTGGGAGTGTTGTGGACTGGCTGGCAGGGAGGGAACAGGAGGACTCTCCACGTTCCCCAACATCCCAAGGGGCATAGGAGTGGGGGCTCTTGAGGCTCGAGGTATCTCTTGCTCCCTAGGAGTATGGGGCTGGGGCCCAGGCCCTGGGGTGCAGCCCCGCTGCCAGTGAAACGTGGGGACAGCTGAGTGGCGGGGTCCCTTCCTCCAGACTGGCTCTGGAGGGGCCTGGGGTTGGGCAGAGATGATCTGTAGCTGTCCTGTCTTCGCACTCTTGTGGGTTCTTGGTGGGTGTGGATGACCAAGCAATGCCCACTTTGGTCAGAGGAGGTGTGGCAGGAGTAGGACCCCAGGAGCCCCGGCCCCCAGGGCAGTGTGCACCCAACAGGTTTAGTGTCCAGAACTGCCCTGGGGCACAGGGACCCCATCTCAGTGCTAACTTGCAGGTGTGAAGGCCACCCTACCCATTTCCAGCCTGTGGAGGGCACTGGTTTGTACCAACACAGGGGCTGACCAGGGCATGGGCAGCCGGAGATGGGATGGGCAGGGGATGGGGTGGTCCTTCCCCACCTGCAGGGCCTTTCTCCCAGGACTGGGGACTGGAGCCCTGGGCACACCTTGCTTCCTCACCCACATGCAGAGGAGCCCCAGAAGTCACAGTGCTAGGGCAGCAGTGGCTGCAGTGCCCAGCTGAGTGCCTGCTGGGCACAGGGGACCTGCAGGGAGAAGAGCCAAGGCCTTTGGGGGGCGCTCTGTGGGGCTGCTGGGAGCACAGGAGGGGCCAGGGGCCTGGAGGGCAGAGCAGGGCCAGCTCCGGGTGGATCTGTTGTCCCGGCCCCCACCCAGCTGGGCGCATTCAGACAGCCTCCTTGCATCTCAACACTGACACTGTTTGGGGGTAGGGGGTGACCCCACCTCCTGTGCCACGACGGCAGTACCCTGAGCTCAGGCCAAGGTGTGGTCCCATCTTGCACCCACACCTTGGAATGGCCTGGAGGGGAGTCCTCGATAGGCATGGGGTGCCTGCAGCTCTTCCTCAGCAAGGGGCTCCACTCTGGGGTGCACCCTGAACCAGCTGGGCGCTCCTCCTCCCCACGGAACCGTGAGCTCCAGGGATCCTTCCAATCACAGGGCCAGGGACCCTGGCTGCCCTTCTCCGGCCACCTGGCCACTGGCTTCTGCTATACCTTGCTGTCCATTTCTGCTAGGACTGAAATTCACAGAGGGACCGCGATGTGAGGTGGGGACAGTGTCTGTGGAGAGCCAAGGGCGCTCTGGGGAGGGGCCTGGCCCAGGCTGAGGAAGGGACTGTGGGCGCCCGGACACTCACGCAGCGCCAGGCCTGTTCCTGCTCTGTGTCCAGTCCCTGCTGCAGGATGCACAGTACAGTAGCATCTGAGCCAAAGTAGCCTCCCTGACCTCTGCCCTTCAGTGCTGGCCCCAGGCCTCTCGCTCAGCCCCTCCTCCGCACCGTCCCGTGAGACCCTACACACAGACAGGTGGGCAGAGGCCACCAGCCTTCGGCCTGGGGCTGCACACCATTGGCTGACAGATGGCCGCGCTGCCTCCACGCCTGCCAGGGCACAAGCTGCTTCCAGGCCAGGGCGGCCTGCTGCGCGCCAACCTGCCCACCCTGCAGGGGTCTGGTCACAGCCTCGAGAGACAAGGACTGCCCTGAACCTCCCTGCCCAGCTCCAAGCAGGACTGAGCAAGCACCCTCTCCGTGTCCTCATGGCCCAGGAATCAGGGTACACACCTCATCTCATGGTTCCAAGAGGGGTTCAGAAAGGCTGAGCCCTTCACACAGAGGCCCAGGCAGAGCTGACAGCTTTGGGGCCCAGAACAGTGGCCCATCGCCCTGGCCATAGCCCTTCCACCTTTCTGTCCAGCTGACCAAACCTGAGCCAGGTCCCCACACACCAGGGCCTCGGCCCCACGCCCTGCTCTCTGGATGCCCACAGTCATGGCACCCCTTGTGGACCAGAGGCTGTGGTGCATGGTGGGTGCTGTCGGGTGTGCCGGACCAGACCCCAGCTCTCAGCGGCATTTGCTCAGCTCACTCTGTCCCCTGCTCCGCCCCTTCCCAGAAGGCACGGCCTGCCAGAGGCGGGGACTGGGGGCGCCTTGGGGGCTGAGATGGTCATGTGTCCCAGACAAAGCCGTGGGCATGCAGCCGGCTGGCACAGCCGCACAGAGCAGGGGAGAAAGACACCTTGCTCCTGGACTCCCGCCCACACTCTCTGTGCCCCACACTGAGCCAGGCCCTCTTCCAGATGGACAGGCCGAGGGACAACAGGCTCAACCTGACCAGGACCCGCAGAACATCTGGAGGCCCTAAGGACAACCAGAGCCACTGCCCCAGACCCAAGCTCCTGGGTCACCTCCTGTGTCTCTGGCACCCAACTCCAAGGAGCTGACAAGAGAGTGTGGCTGAGGTGGGAAGCATCAGGCCTGGCCGAGGCAGTGCCCGCCAGGGAAGTGGACTGCGGTGAGGACAGCAGACACCCACAATGGATGGCACTGGTGGACCCTCCGGCCCCTGCCAGCTGCTGTCAGGAATGTGGCAGTGGAGCCAGGCCTGGCTGGATGTCCACAGATGCTCCGGCTCCCCAGCCTGGGCACACATCCTGCTGGACAGAGGAGGGGATCCCAGCCCGTGGGACCACCCGTACTGACCACCATAGCACAGGAGGTGGTTCTGGGGCTGACCCTGAAAAAAGGGGTTCTGGATTCTGGCAGGAGCATGGCAGGGTCCTCTTGGGGTGGGGAAAGGAAGCCTCACCAGACTCCCACAGGCTTCCCAGGCCTAACCCCACCATCTTCAGGCTGGAATCCAGGGCCCCTGTTCCTGGACGGCCAGCACGCCAGGAATGGACCAGCTGTTGGGTAGCCCAGGGGGCCCACCCTCTCCAGCTGCCCAGGGCCTCAGCAGTGGGGAGAAGGGCACAGCTGTTCCCTCCCATCTGCATGGCTGTCCCCAGACCTGGAGCCGGTCAGTGTCATGTGGGCCATGTGGTGGACGCTCTGCCATCCTGAGGGGCCCCCAGCAGCAGGTGGGGCCTCTTGGAGCTATCCGCATGCCCTTCCCTCCTCTCCCACAATGCTGGGGTCCAAGGACACAGTGGGTGCAGGGGAGGGTGGAAGTGATTATGCTGGACCAGGGTCTGAAGGCAGAGTAGGAGGCTCACAGACCCACTGTGCAGCTCGACAGCCTCAGCTTGGGGCCGGCGGGAGCCATGCGGACCCTGGGGTCTCCAGCTGCCCAGTGAAGGAAATGGAGAGGGGAAGGGGCAGAGGGGAGGGACCCTCGCAGCGGGGCCTGCTGAAAGCCAGACACCCTTAAACCCCAAACCCCAAAGAGAGAGGCCCCAGGAACACTCAAGCAAGTGCCCTGTCTTGGGGAGACTGTTGAGATGCTGCCCTTCCAGCACCTGGGGAGCAGGCACCAGGGCAAGCAGCCTTGTGCCAGTGGATCTTAGTGTGGGACCAGGTGTCCAGGCCTAGGGCTGGCATCAGGCTTCTGGGGGCAAGCTGCGGGCAGACAGACAGGACTGCTGTCCCATGTGGGAAACAGGGGCAGGGGGCTGCTGCCAGTGGGACAGCTGCTGGAGGGTCTGGCTGGCCAGGGCTGGGTCAGATGCCAGGGACTGAAACCTGAGGTGGTAGTGGGAGCTGGAGTCTGAGGGAACTGGGGGGCCCCAGGAGCCCCTGGTACGTGCGGGGGAGGGACAGCCCTGCTCTGTATACTCACGATGCACCCCAGAGCTGACTGAGGGGTGAGCACATGTCCTCAGCAGCCTAGAGCTACAGACTGACCGGAGGATACCTGTAGGCCTGGGTCTGGGCTCTGATGCCCAAGTGGGGAGACCAAGGTGGACAGCAGCATTCAGGGCCCAGGAGGATGCTGGGGGTCTGCAGTGGATAAAAGCCATCGTGGGCTGGGCTGCGACCCAGAACTCGAGTTCCTGGAGGGCAAAGCCCACAGCTGCCCTGACGGTCAGGACGGCGGGGAGGGGCAGGGACACCACCCACAGGTGGGGAGGCCCGGTGCCAGCTGGGTCGGAGTGCCCGTCCCCACAGACTGGTCCGGGCCTGGAAGGGCGGAGGGAGCTCTCTACCTGCCCCTCAGGCCCCCAGCC